TGTAAAAATATACTGGAAAATTATTCCCCCAAAAGAGCTCAAATCACAATCCTCCCTTAGGTTCAGTAAAATTAAAAATTCTCTGCTACTTTACAAAACTCTGAAAGAATTTCCAATCTGATAATGTTGAGGGTCTTAAAGAACTAAGTATGTTAGTGGTTGCTAAGTAATTAGGTTGCTAACTATACTTGCTAAAAGAAAAGGGAATTAAAAGATTCAGAAAATTATAATAATTGAGTATGAATGAAAGAAAAGTGCTAATTATCATTTTGAATAATGTCATGTGGAGTTTAGTCTTGGACAGAGGGCATGATTAGAATAGTTTCATCAGGTGTTCCTGAGAAAACTGATCACAACCAGGTGTTTAAGCACAGTAGTGGAATTTCAAACTGTATTACTTCATGAAAGGGAGGCATCAGCTTTATGAAAAGAACAGAAACAAAAAACAGTAAATCATATTAATGAAGATCATAGTATGGATGAGAAAAGTAGACAAATAATAATAAACATTATACCTTGCCATAACTTGTGGCTTACTTCAAAATATTTGTGATTCTTCATTAACTAATTGGAAATAAAGGTAAAATTGACCAGATCATTATGTGAAAGGAATTTTGGGTTTTTTTGGTAAGGAAAAAGTAGCAGAACAACATTGAATAATATCACACTAATGATTATCTTATCTAGTTTTTCCCTATAAATCGACTATGTCCTACTTGGCAGAATCTCCTTGGCAATTAGGAAGTAGAACTTGTACGTTCCACAGTCACTTGATGATTTACACTTTCCTTGAAGGAGAGTGTTCATTCATTCATTCAACATTTTTAGCTCCTACTATATAGCCTGTTCTATGTATGGAGCTTAAAATACTCATATTCTAGTGGAGAAACACAAATGCTTGGTGGTAATGTGTCAGGTAGCAATAAAAGTGCTAGAAGAAGTAAGAAAGAGGTGGGATGAATAAATACTTTCTATAAAGAGATATCAGCAAAGGTCTCTTTATTTTAAAGGGATTTCTGAGCATGGGCATAATGGACATGAAGGAGAGAACCAACTAGATATCCAGAAGAAATTTCCAGGTATATGAGACCTGGTGTAAAGAACTTGGAGCAGGAATGAACAACAGGAGAGGGTGGAGGGCAGTGTAGAGTGGGAATGGAATAGGGAAAGCTCTACCAATATGTGAAGCCTCATAGCCCATGGAGAGAGGCTGGGGTTTGTGTTAAGGGAGACAGGAAATCATTGTTGTGTTTTGGCCCAGGTGGGACAGGATATACTTACAGAATAGTTATCTAACTCATTCTGTATTTAAAATCTGTTCTTCATAAAGTTACTACATTACAATAAGGATTCTCAAACTTTTAACACCTTTAGAAATATTTTGATGAGTAATGCATAATTTAAAAAGAGATCTCAAAGCTGTATTTCAAATTTTTCCATTATTTTTTGATAGGATCATCATAAAATAATGATCCAGATCTCACTGGGTCAAAAGTAAAAGGCATCAAAAGACTAATAGACTATATCTCATGTCTAATGAGAAACAGCAAATTATAATGAGGTCTGGATGACTAACCCACATTATCTCAGTGTAACAATGCAAAAAGATCTCTTCAGGACTGGGTTTGTGGCTTAGAGGTAGAGCACTTGCCTAGCACATGTGGGGCACTGGGTTCAATCCTCAGCATCACGTAAAAATAAATAAATAAAATAAAGGTATTATGTCCATCTGCAATGAAAAAAGTTTTAAAAATATTTTCAAAACTAGTAAACTCTATTCAGAAAAGATCAGATAACATTTGGGACACAACACACAGAGTTCAATATTCACATCATTGATCTTTTGAGGAAATTAATTATCAAATATTAATATCACTAAGTAGTAAAAGTAGTATGTAATAACTAAAAATTTTGTATAGTAAAACATCTAATGGATTGAAAATTCTCACAAAGGAAGATTTTTGTTTTTTATCAAGTCACATATAAAATTCAACTCAGCCTATAAAAGCTATCTCTATTTTTCCTTCAGTATGTGATCAATTATGTTATAGACAAGAAGAGCAAGCAAATTCCTTGAATGTGTAAATGTTGCAGTTTCCATTACTAAGTGCTCTGCATACAGTATGTTATATTTCTTTTTCACAATCACAATCTGGTCCTAAGAAATGGACCAGATTCAACCTTAAGTGTTTCAAGCTCCAAGGCGGGTAGTCTTTCCAATATACTCTCTTCCCAAAAGTATTCTTTCCTGGGCTCACAGATCAAAAATAACAATTTTTAGAACAATGTTTGGTTCCATTAGGAACACTGCAATTCAGATCATTTCATAAGAATCTCTATTCAACATCCACAATCACAGTGCAACTTAGATTGAGAAGTTAAGCAAGCTTTCTCTGCACTTTTCTAATAATAAAAACTGTGTGCAGGAATCAAACACTGAGGAACGCCTTCTTTATTTATTGAACAGTAAAGCTGGAGGATCACATAGTGCAATACAAACAGGAACAAGCTCGCCAACTCCTTAAAATGGAATAAGACATCCATGTTTATTACAAATGCCAGGAAAGTTAAATGCATTCATAGCCATGTTTCTAAAGTCATTTTTACAAGGCCGGGGTCCTACTGGTTGAAGTAAATACTGGTACAAATAAAGGAAATGTATTTACTTTATTTTGTAGATTAATTACCAACTTATTTTATCTCAGCTATTTTTACCCCACCACTAAAAATATCTTGCCATTATAAATTGTGTGTATCCTGAAATTTTAAACAAATTTTAATACTTTAAAAAATAACATAGATAAGATATCATATAATGCATTATAACTATAATATACATTTTGCATAAGGCATTTCATAGATTTGATATACAAAATTTTTCTAATATTTATCATCTTTACTGGTTTCTTCCCACCCCTTTTCTACTGTTGTTTATTTATATATAATACAGGAATGTTCCCTAAACAAATCACCACAAGATTATAAACTCAGGGTTATGTTATCTAAACATAACCCTGTGCTTTTTGGGTTCTAAAGAAGCCCCAGCATCTAATTTAGCACACTTTCTATTATAATATTAGGTCCTTAATATACAGTTGTGGTTGGCTAACAAAGAATAATAGATATTTAGATTGTTAGAGTAGAAGATATTTTACTTAAAGAGAATATGTTTTTAGAAGGTATAAACTCTAACAGTTTAATAACTAACACACATGGAGTTTCTCTGTGTTAGAAATCTTAAATAAATGATAAATAATAGAAGTGGAAAGCCAAATTAAGGAGTATGTATGAGTGTGTATCACATCACAGTTACCAGCAATTAAGCCATATATGCCTTTTCAAAACATTTGTGTCACCTTATGATGTAGTTATATATCCTCCTTACAGAAGAGGAAAGTAAAGGATCTGCAGATGGGGGATTTGGGCAAGTTTATACTGCTAGCCAAGAGGTCAAGATTAATCCAGAGTTCTTTCTACTCTGAATTTTCTTAATCATGTTACCTATGTTTGGTTCTACCAGCTGTTAAGATGAGTATAATAATATCACTGACTTTCCTTATGAGGTTATAAGGAGAGAATAAGATATTACAGAGAAACAAGCATCCTGCTCACAGAATGCATAATATTGAAGTGCTTCTAGAAGATAGAGCAGCCTTCAAAATGGATACTGGTTAAGAGAAGGACACTGGAATCAATAGGTCTGGGTTCAGATCCCAAGTTGGCATCAAGCTATCTGGTCTTGGGCAATAATTTAACCTCCCTAAACCTCAGGTTTTCCATCTGAAAAATGGTAATGCTAATTTGTAACACAAAGAACATTATGAGGATAAGGTAACATATCTAAAAAGTATTCTCAGTGCCAGGCACATGCTAAACACTAAACAAATACTACTGCTCTAATGATTTGTATGTTTCTTTGAAGGTAACTACTTGTTTAATGATTTTGATTTTTCATATAATGATACTGAAAGCAAAGGAACCTTCAAGAAACTCTGATATAAATCATCATAAATGCCTTGTTCCACCTCAAGAATCTCTTCTCCATCTCCTGCCAAGGTGCCATAGGTTCCCATGTAAGGTACCGTGGGCAGAATTCCTGTGAATGTCACCTGACTGTATCTTTGTTGAAGTTTTGAAGAATCAGTCACCTTCCAGATATTAGCTTCTGCCTTTTAAAAAAGAAGTCCAGCTTGATTATGTAAATAAACTGGAATCATGGACTTGGAATTCAAGGCATGAAAAGAACTGAAATCCAATTCATCTTGGAAAAATTATCAAAACAGAATTCCTAACCTTAGTACAAATTAACTTACCTGATTGGATAACAAAAGACATTATTCAAAAAAGTGGAAAACATTACAGTTAAATCTTAGGTGGGTATAAGGAAAAGGCAAATCTCTAAGCATAGGATACTGCCTACAATTACATACTTAGACACTCAACTCAGTCACCATCTCCTCCATTAAATTCTTCCCAGTCTCTTCTGGAGGTTCCTGCCACTATCATGGTATCTAACTCACAATGTCCCTTTATTTCCTTCTAGATGTAAAATCCTGTTCTATATGTCTCCTACAGCATCCAACAACAAACCTTACAGATGGAGAGTATTTAACAAAAGTTGGCTACTGAAAAATCTTTAGTAGAGACATGTCAGCATTCAAGAGAAACAAGAATTCATCAAGTATTTGGAGAAGACAATGCTAAAGGAATCTAGAAACAACTAACCAATATGCCTGCTTCATGGATTTGTTTAGCATTTATAGATACAAAGACTTAGTTATAGGTTTTTTCAAACTTCCAGCCTGCTTTCCAATGTGATGTCAAATTCAGCCTTGAACACTGTTGTGTACTTTTTTATTTCAGTAATCAACATCTTAATATAGTCCTGAGAACCTTTTACAGAATCATATGGGTATTGAGCATAGAAAAATGAGATTGACACATATTTTAAGTTACTTTTGAACAAACCCCTCTGTCCCAACAGTATTTGAGTATCTTACCGGCTCTCCTTTCTGCCCAGGTGAACCTGGAGTCCCTGGTAATCCTGCTTCTCCCTGAGAAAAAAAATGAATTTCTGTGTTAGCAAACATTCTGTCATGTTGATCTCAAGCCAAATTGTATATGAATATGAAGCTGGCAACTGTAAACGATGCTCATCCCTTCGCCAGAAGACTTTCTCATGTCCTTCATGAAGTTCATTATTCCTCCAGCTTTCAAACACCATTTAAATCATCAGGAGCTGGAGCATGGGATGCTTCTCCACTGAGCACCTCCATTGTCCTTGCCATGCAATGTTGCTCATGACAGGACACGGCCTGCTTTTTAGCCCAGATCCTAAGACTGCCGTTAACATCCACAAAAGAAATTCATGTAGGTCCATGGATTCAGCCTCCCTGACCAAAGGACCATATCAGGGACAGTGAAAAACATTATTATTATTTCCCTGCATATATACTGACAATTAATGGGGATAGCTGGAAATTGGGGGATACCAGAAAAATACCATAAACACACAACAAAAAATACTATCTAATGTGTTTCTGTATATGTTTATTAAAGAGTAGGAACTGTGTTTCCTTCAACCCTGAATTCCCAGAACTGTAGCCTACTCCTAGTTCATGCTAAGTACTCAGTACTTTCCTATTCAGGTGGTTCCTCCCTTCGCCCTTTTATCAATACTGATTAACACCCTGAAAGGAAGGTCAGAGGCACTCAGAACTATGCAGGTGAAAAACCAAGAAACTCCATCTTCAATCTCTTTTTGTTTGGTATTTTGATGACTATGTAGCTTAGGAATTTGATTCAATTAGCACCCAAGGAAAGACACATGCTATTCACCCCAGGCCACAGTCAAGGAGCCAGGTTTGCTATCTGGAGTGGCTTTTCAGTGGGCACAAATTAAAACAAGCATACCTTGCTTGGAACGCACTGGCACAAGTCTCTGAGTTCCTGCTTTGCGGGCAGAAACGTAGACAGTTTACTGGCATGAGCAGTTATGGATGATGATGCAGTACTTCCAAAATCATCCTGCTCTGGGCACTAAAACCAAAAAAGAAGATTTAGAGATTGGGTTCAAATCCAGACAGTGGGTCCCCCCACACTAGGGCTGGCTAGTTGTCTATAAGAACTTCCTTCTTTTAATTTGTGGTGCTGGGGATCCAGAACTTCCTTGTTATTAACCTAATGTTGACACCTGTGTGTGAAATCACACATTTGCTCTGTCACTGAGCCCCCAATGTATTTAATTGCACTGACAACACATAAGGAATGTATAAAACTGATGGTGTGAGTGAGGAGTTCTAAAGCTGTATTATATGACTTAATGATACAGTAATATTGTACACTTATAATAATTGCATTCACATGATGAAATGATTTCTGCAAACAACATGTAAGTGTGTATTTGGGGAACAAAAAGTTAAATCATATAATTTGAATTTGTAAAATATAATTTGATAAGACGATTGTAAAGGCCTGTAAAGTTAAAAAAAAGTAATTTTTTATACTCTAGGGTGATACTTAATCAAAATATGCCTTATTCTAGTTCAATATCCTTTAAAGATATTAAAAAGGTCTTCACCATAACATAGAAGTGGTGAATTTTATTCTTGTCCAGTGAGTTTAGAACATGCTGGACAAGATGAAGTTTGGTTATAAAAAAATAAACTGGTTTTTTTTTTCTCTTGAAAATTTAATCTAGATGGAGATTCTGAAGAGCTTTTAAATGTATCTTTTCTTTTTAGTATCACGTACCAAGCTTCTCACCTTGATTAACTCTGAATTTACAGTTTCATGAAGGGAATGCATTAGGGAAAAGAGTGAATGCATTACTTTCTATACTACAAATTACATATACCTGGGAATGTAGTTTCAAATGTAAAATAAAATACTATCCGTGATTATCTACTGTGGTGTAAGGTCATAGTTGATATGTACTTCTTTTTTTTTTTTAGTTTTGAGTATTTCCTAAGTTTTCTAAGATAAACATGTATGACTATGTAAAAAAATTATTTTGAAAAATGGGTAGTACTCTAATGCTTGTACTAATAATAAAAATAGTAGCAAAACTAGCACTCAGAACTACTACAGCTGGTGCTAGTTCTTTCATACCTACTCCACCACTAGTTCTTTCATACCTACTCTCTCTATATTGAGTGATGATTAGTTATCTTAAGAAGTTTCTAAATCCAAAAGTCTAAACACCACATTCAAATGAAACAAGATTATCATCAAGGCAGTTCGTTCATCCGATGTTTAGTTATTATTTTCTAGTCAGTTTTTGCTCCACAGGTTCCTGGTGAAATAATCAAGATCCCTTAGGATTTATAATTTTAACCTAAACACTTGAGCAATTAAATTGGTGATTTAAAACTTCTTTAAAATCTTGTCTTTGGCTTCACTGTAAAACTGTACACCTCTCCAAAACTGCCTAAGGCAAATAGACATATATAAGTAGGGACCACATCTCTCACAAAAACCTCTGGTTTTGATTTGACACATGTAGTTAATTAGCCCTTATAATTTTAATCACATTTCTCATTAATTTTCAACAAATGTTGCTGATCTCCTTCCTCTCTTATATTTATTCATTTTTGTGTCTGCAATCATGAAACTTGACTATTTCAGAAACTGATGTAATTTAATAAAAGTGAAATGGCATGTTTAAAGGTGATCTTGAGTAATTCTCACCTTTGAAATGCTCTGTAAGATATTAATACCAAAAAAAATCTGTGACTTGAAATTCTAGGACAAAATTAGATTTTTCAGACATATTTACTAACATTTTTTTACTTCAAAACCTTTTGAAAAAACAGAAAAGAAAAAGGAAAGGAAGAAAGAAGAAAGAAAAGGATATAATTGTTATCAAAAGTTGGTGCATTTAAATGGTTTGTACATAATATCTCTAAAACTATACACCTCTATTTTCAAAATGTAGCATGTTTCTATTTACTAATAGTAGATGGTAAAACTCTATCCCCCAAATAATCAGCATGAAAAAATACAATCCTTGGTTATTCTTTCCCATAGTTGGGGTGAATTCCTAACTTATTTTCTACTCTAAAACTAATTCCCAAATTATTATTTTAAACAATTTTCATTTGCAATGTGTGAGATCACATCACTGCTTTTAATTACTAAAACACTCCATCAAATCCATCACTTATACTTCCTCAAACATTTTTTTCCACTGGAATTCAAGTTGAAAATACATTGTTACATAATGACACGCCACAGTGATTATTGGCCAAAAATACAATATTTAGATATATAAAACCATTGTGTTGCTTATCAAAGAATATTATTTTAAGAACTTGTACATTTTGAGGAACTAATAAAAGAAAGAAAGAAATTATTTAAGTAATGTTACATTGCTGGCATCAGGGTGAAGAAATTAGCAAAGAAATATTTCGAAATGTAGGAAATTCTAAAAATGAAATAAAAGTACTTTTTTTAAAAATAAAAGCATAATTAATTAAAAGAAACTTCTGGAAAATTAATGTCTTCAAGATTTATATGTGTGGCTCCAGGAAGTCTTGGTATTTCAAGTCTGAATATTGGCATTCTAAATTACCTTTTTAGATATTTATAGAAAGATATTTGGCTGGCTTTCATTTTACTTGAAATGAGAGCCATAAACTGGGTTGGAGGTGTGCTTTCTACAACCAATTTACATAAGCAAAACATATAATATTTTTAAGACTAGCTATGCTTATCACTGAACTACATTCTTATTCCGCTACCCAAAAAACATGAGAGAAGTTACAAATATTTTTTAGTTACAAATTACTGATTACATTTTCATATAATTTTTCTTTGGCAAGCATAGAACTTCTAGGAAATCTAAAATCTGAATAGAAAGCATTTTTCATTTTTCACTTTTTTTTTTTTGGTAAGTTTTTTAGAATTACTCCCTTTCAAATGCCTTTCCTGTAGCATTTGGCAAGTCACCAAATCAAGAAAATAATGCTTTGACTAACTTCTGTGAACAAAGCACTAGAAATAAAAAAGGTGAATATAAAAAATAAAGCTTCCCTCTTTGAGTCTAAATTAAAAACAAATATATTTATATCTAATAACAAGATGGCACATGTGAACATTACATCGAGAGGATTATCAAATTCCATGCTTTCATTAGAATAAATTATAGCTATAAGAAAGTAATAGTTGTACAGTTAGGTTGGGAATATTTAAGAGGATAATGAACTGGACTTATATTTTGTTGTCAATAGATAATCACCTAAAATTTGGAGAAAAGATGAATAGACGGGGAATGTATTCATGTTTGTTAGCCCTGTTCATTAGCATAGTTTCTGAAAGATCTTTCTTTTTCTCCCTCCCTCCCCTCCCCTCCCCTCCTCTCCCTCCTCCTCCTCCTCCTCCTCCACTTCTCCTTCTTCTTTTTTTCAGTACTGGGGATTGAACCCAAGGTGCTCTACCACTGAGTCACATCCCCAACCCTTTCTTTATCCTTTCTTTATTTTTTTTAAATTTTGAGACAGGGTCTTGCTAAATTGTTGAGGCTGGCCTTAAATTTACAATCTTCTTGCCTCAGCCTCCAGAGTTGTTGGAATTAAAGGTGTGTACCACCATGACAAGCAGATCAGTGTTTTTGAATAATAAACATATGTGAAGCAAGTAAATGAACATATACAGTAGTGATCCAGAGACTTAGTCTGGTCATCTACATGCCACCCTTGCCTTCCCCGCAAAAAGACAGGAAATGAAAAAGGCTATGATACAATGATAAAGTAAGTCTCCAGGCACAATGTTAAAATGGACTTTGTCAATTACAGGAAAAAGGAAGATGAGAATAAAAAGTGTATCACAAAGGGAAAGCAGCCAGGATCGAATCTCCTTTAGAATAAAATGGTTGGATTGATTTATCTACTTTATTCTTCTTGTTTTCTCAAGTCCTGAAATATAATTAGTTATGTTTATATAGTGAGATTTGGATACTATGTCAAAATATATTTTCAAATTTGAAATGACAGAATCATTTTATATTTAAAAAAATATTTAAAAAGGAAATTCTTCATTATACTAGTAACAGAAATACAATATATGAAATATTCTTTAAAGAAATAATCTTGTACTTTGGTATCATGGACTTCTTAATTTTAGCTAAAGTAAAACTGAGACTAGAATAAATGGTAAAATAAATGGTAAAATATGTTTTATCTATGTTTCATAATTTCTGCCTAGAACCTATGGATTTTATACTATATTGGTATAAAAGCAGGTCAGAGTTCAGATGCATTTTTAGGATGTCATAATTTAAATCTTTCTTGGCAGTTATGCCTAGTATTCAAAATGAGTGCAAGAATGTTAAATACAGCCAGGATGGGTGGAGCTAGTGAGAACAAAGTCTGATCACAAATTTAAATCTTTGTAAAGGGAAAATGATGGCACTACTATCAGAACACAGTTTTGGGAAAAGGCATAACTCTTATTCAAGTGATGTTGTCTAAAGTGGGGGCATACCATCCCCAAAATTCAGAGCGGAATTCTGGAGTTAAAACTTTGAAAACTGTGGGAAAGTACTAAGAAGGCTTCCACACCTAGAATACATTAGTCCCATGGCTTCAATTGAAGATACCAGGCACTGCCCTATGTTTGGACCATATAGATTATGCAACTAAAAGATAATTGGCCTTCTTCATTCTTCACATACTGAGAAAATTAACTTACCTTAGTAGTTGATATTTCACAACATGTTTCTTGAGTTATGAAGTTTGCATTACAATAGATTTTAAGTTGGTGAAGTTCAATCTATTAAAACAATTAGTAGTAAGACATCATTAATATTTTTGAGAATTGCATCTAGGCAGTCAATAACTACATTAATTTAACTGAAAAGAAAAAGAAATAAATTGCTGGTAGATATTTTTATTTAATTTAGGATTCGTTATTTCATGGATCACTTGGAAAATAGAGTCAGATATACAGGCAGATCTATAGATAAAGGAAATCAGGTAATGAAATTAATTACAAACCTTGGCTAATTTTTTCCAACAATAAAAAAGTGTTTAATTAAAGAGAGGGGTTAGTAGGAACTACAATGAAGTATGTGCACAATATGAGAACATTTCAACGTAATAATTGGAGAAAAATGAGGTCTGAGGTATGAGCAGGTGATGGAAAGGCTTTATCTATAGTTCCAGACCTCTTATTTGAGGTACTGAAATAGTTGCACTGTTCTTAATAAGGAAAGAAAATGTGTTTTATCTATGTTTCATAAATTCTGCCTAGAACCTATGGATTTTATACTATATTGGTATAATTCTAAGGAAGACTCACTATCTTTTTAGAAAAATAATTGATTCTTTTGCTCCACAGATTCACTTTTAGTTTTTCTAGGTATTTGAACATGAAATTGGAAGCAGTACAAGTAAAGTATAATTTTGACTTTAAGTGAAAGATCAACTGATTGTCTAAGAAAAATAATACTGGTGGGAAAAAAAGTATACTAAATGCTTAAATAGGATGAACTCCTTAAGCACTGACATATTATATTAAATAATGCTTTATATGAGTAGGTATTTATGGGAACCTTCAAATTAGACTGTGGTTGGATATTTATGAATTTAATCAATAATTCTATGATGATTTGATTATAATATGGATTAGGAATCTTAACCCTTCCTTTTTCCTTTCTCCTCTCTCTCTACCTTGCTCTCTTTGTATTTCCCAATGTAATAGAGCTAGATTATGCATTGCTTTGAGGTTAATCAATAATTACTTTGTATAGAAAGACTAAATTGTAAAGTTATGATTCTATCATAATAGAAGGCAGACATCTTTCATTTATTGTGAAACTTTAAAAAATAAAATAAAAAATAAAAATGGGAAAAAAATCTGTAACTTTTACTCTGCACTGAGATGAACAAAATCAAAATCAGTTTTAGCTTCAAGGAAGCATTAGGAACTCCAAACATGTGTGGAATAATGAATAGCCTAAGATTTGTAGATAATGCAAAATTCTGATTCTAAATAAAATTTAATGATTTTTTTTGTGGCCTGGGGATTGAACTCAGGGGCACTCAACCACTGAGCTATATCCCCAGCCCTATTTTATATTTTATTTAGAGATAGGGTCTCATTGAGTTACTAAGCACCTCACCATTGCCCAGGATGGTTCTGAACTTGTGATCCTCCTGCCTCAGCCTCCAGAACTGCTAGGATTACAGGTGTGCACCACCGTGCCCAGCTGGCTAATGATTTATTTTCAATAACTTTTGCAAGGTTACAAAAACTAACTTTTATTTGTAAAAATATAATAAGCCCACTGTTTTCCATAGTCTAGTGAAATACTGACAGTAACATATAAGTTATATAGAATGAGGAATAGGGATTCCATTTAATTAATATTGTTCTTAGTGAAAACTCATCATCAACATTGTTATCAAAATGGAAAAGAAATACTGAATTCTTATTATGTGCCATCCACTATGCTAGGCCTGAATATGAATTATTTTACTTAACTAAAGATAGACTATCAATTTTCGAAGGACTGGAACTTAATCAAGTAACTATGACATTGAAACTACAATCAACTCTGTCTTTTTTATTCACTTAATATCTTATAATACCTCACTGATACAGTGCTTTAGAAAGAGAATGTGTAGGACTAAATTATAGATTGACTCTTGTCAAAGTGAAAATTTATTTTAAAAAATCTTTTTTATATTAACCTCATCAATCACCTCTTTCCCATAAAAGCACAAGCATCTGAATAAATAAAACATTGTCATACTCCAACAGGTCTTATGAATCAGAGAACTTGTATACAGATGAGGGAAAAATAGTCCATTTGGAGCTTTAGTAGGATCAGAAATCTTAAAATACACACACATACACATTTTGTTTTGCTTGGTTGTTTAGTTCAGTGACAATCTCATGATATGCCTTCAATTTCATCCTCAAATAATGAGACCACATTACAGTATGAAATCCCCACACAGTAGTAGTGAAAGCACTCTTTAGTAGTACCGTAATTTTGACATTACTTTTATAAGGACATGCCTGATATATTCTTTAGCCTTATGCTCTGGGGTCAATTCTGTCGTCAGGTGAGAAGTTAATGAGACACAGGACACTTAATCTTCGGAAGTTTAGCTCAAAGACCAGTTACCACTAGCCATAACTCGAACTCCTCTCTTCTGCTGCCCCTCTTCCCATAAATTATCTCTGTTCTTTGGTTCTTTCAGATCCTCTGGAAACAGAGCCCACTTTGCTCTTCCTAATCTGGAGAGAACTCTATTTTCTTCCCTTGTGATGAAACTCATAGTCTCCTGATTACCTGCGGGTTCCCATTCCCCGTTTTGCCTTGGACAGTCTTTTCTGAAAGGTCTGTCTAGTACTATTTTTATTGTGATTAATAATATTAGCAGTTGTAGCCACCATTTACTGACATATTTTAATCCTTCTGTAGAACTTTGATATTTTTTTTTTGAACTTTGATATTTCAAGAGCCCAAAGATTAGTGTTTTCCTTTTTCAGCTTCTTATGGCAGGGCTGAATGCCATGTCTGGTCCTGACTAGATAAATGAATTTATAGAGAACTGACCACACATTAGGCACTACTGCATATTCACAATACAACTAGCAACTCCACCATCTCTGTTTTATAACTGAAGATATTGAGGCTCAGAAGAATGTGTTAAAATCTCATCTGTCTGAGCCTCAAACCACTCATTCTCCCTGTTGCCATCATGGCCTGTCCTCAGAATGGGTGGCCTCTGCTCTGACCTGTTTTGATGTTCATCTCTGTTCCCTGGTTATGACATTCTAACTGATTTGCTCACTTACTGTCTCTGAGAGAAAAGACTTCAAAAATAATAGTTTATTGAGTAATTATACACACATACGCACACATATATGCATATATGTATCATGTATATGGTGCATTCATATATTATATATAATAGTGCATATATTCATACACACACACACTAACACACTTCTAGAGGGTCCTTTAGAAATAAGCTTGCCAAATATGTATTTGCATAAAGTTGTATTTTTTAAATAAAATCAAACTGTCAAGTACTTTGTGTTAACAGGAATGGCATTCCTACTGGTAATCAGCAGTTGGAATTTTAGGGACTTTCCTACTATCAAATTTAGTAGCCATCAAATTTAGATATATCTAACTTTTTTAAAGATAATAGGCCTCTCTTTCTAGAGAAATCAATAATAAATCTATATCGTCTTAGCTTCAGACATAATTTTAAAGGAACTCTTCATCTGAAAGAGTTTTTCTAGCCAATTTTTCTCATCCAAATGACCTACTAATGTACTCAGCGATTGTATTTCAGTCTAAAAGAATCCTGAAAAACCATTATAAGCTTATAAAAAGTAGTCTGTAATACAAAGCAATTGCTTTTGTGAGGGTGAATAAATAGCCTATTGTTCTTGAGTGAAAAGACAGATAATCTGGAACCAGTTTATTTAAAGTTCATCTTTTCCCAATCCTTTCTATTCAAAACATATGGACTTAGACTAAACTCACATTTTGTGTACTATTTTCAATTTTTAATAAAGTTTACTTTTAATAATCTTATTTTTTTAAAGAGAGAGAATTTTTTTAATATTTATTTTTTTAGTTTTCAGCGGACACAACATCTTTGTTTGTATGTGGTGCTGAGGATCGAACCCAGGCCACACGCAAGCCAGGTGAGCGCGCTACCACTTGAGCCACATCCCCAGCCCAATAATCTTATTTTTAAGGCATGCCCAAGTTCTTTTAAATTCACTGACTAGAGAAAATGGGTGAAAATAGCAGATAATATGTATGAAAATAAAGCTAGAAAGAAATAATTTCATATATCAGTGGGCAATTAAACAGTGATGAGAAGCAGGTCCGTTACATAGTAATCAGAGGGAGACATTTTTCCATAAGATAATTTTTACTTGAAAATGGTGCTAGTTCTCCTTCACAACCACAACTTACGTCCACAGGCTTGCCATCAGCAGCTCGTGCCACCAGAACTGTCCTCCCATGAAAATCCACAGTGTCCTTCGCATCAGTCTGCCGGCTTGCAATTAAACTGCAATCCACATAGAGTGAAAGGACCTGGGATTGTATGCTGAAGCCAAGTTTATGCCACTGACGGTCAAACAAAGGACGGAGTTCCCGATTTTTAAAAATGTAATTCAACATGTCTCCCCCGGCAGCTCGGAACATAAACTCTACCACCTTCTTTCCACCATCAATTACGACAGAAATCTGAAAAAAAAATGCAAATTATTTTTGAATGTTCTAAAAACTCAATGTTCAAAATTATTAAAGCACCAAAGTATAATCTCAAGATGCTTGTTAATATATGACGCATTTAGTAAAATACTTTAGATGACACCTGTGCCTACCAGATTTTTAATAAGAAACAAAAGTAAACACTTGTTTCAAAATTGAGTTTGACATGGGCTATCCAGTGAATGTAATATACTCTTTCTTGAGAGAACATCTAAGAGTGGGTATGTGTCTATAATTTCATAACTGTATTGTATGTTTTATACTTACAAGTAAAAGTATAAATTTACCTAAAATATAAGGTTTACATTTTAGAGCATACTGTATAAATTATATACTTTATCTAAATATAAGCTTATATATAATTTATTGTTTTGTGTGAATAATTCAAGAATTCAAGGTTACCAATTTAGTGAGAATATGATTATTTATCTTTTGCATGCAAGTTGAGATCTACTTCTTTAATTTTTGATAATTTGCATGATAAAAAAATATGTGTGAAGAACATACTGTCCTCCCTCCCTCTATCTTCTTATTCCACTGATTTCCCAACCAATGTTGCCATTCATATTTTAATTAGTGCATTATATGACTCATTGTGATTTATTTTTACATAGATATAGCATAATTTGGTAATTTTATTCCTGATGCCCATCCTTCCCCCACCCCCAATCTCTTTTCTCAAATTTATTGATCTTCTTTCCATTTTCATGAGATGCCCCTCACCCCTTTTTTCATCTCTTTAGTTTCTGCACATGAGAGAAAATAGTTGAGCCTCAATTTTCTGAGTTTGGCTTAATTACTTAGCATGACAGTCTCTAATTCCATCCATTTATCCACAAATGACATAATTTCATCCTTCTTTAAGGTTTCATTGTGTATATATAGCACAATTTCTTTATCCATTCATCTACTGAAGGACACCTAGACTGGTTCCATAACTTGGCTATTGTGAATTATGTGGCTATTAACATTGGTATGAATGCATCATTATAGTATGCTGATTTTAGATCATTCAGATAAATACCAAAGAGCAGAAGAACAGCTGGAGTATATGGTGGTCCCATTCCGAGTCTTTTAAGGAATCAAAAAATCACTTTAAAAATAATACATAATATCAGAGTTGATAGAAGATGAAGAAATTATTAGGGAAGTGGTGTTAATCAATGAAAGTTGCAAAGGAGAGCAGTTTCAGCTTCTTCAGACAAAATATGGATATCAAGTTAAAAAGAATCCTGTCTCACCCACAAGACTATCACATTATAGATCTGAGCAAGCCTATCATTAGAAAACTTGTAATTGCCTCTTGATAACTCCTGTAAAAGAATATTTGGATACTATATCAGTTCCCAAATTTGGGCACGCAGTTCAAAGACACACCTGGTCTGGCACACAACAGAATTAACAGACACAACTCTCATGGCATCTTACCTGTGGCATATTTTTCTGGTTTAAAACCTGCCACAGAAACCACCGCTCCTTTTTGGTGTTTCTTCGTACACGAAACACAGCTGCTACAGAGAACTCCTCAGGAAGGCCTTTAGGAAATATCTTACTGTGGAAGAAAAAGAAAGAACTATTGTGGGGAGACTGAAGATGGCAAGGACAGAGAAAAAAGTATGAAGTTCCTTGCACCATAGTATCTCAGTCATAGTTTTCTTAATGAGTTTATAATTTATTATTCAATTTGCCCTAATCTATTGAATGGAAATATGGAAGCAGCCATGACTATATTTCCTATAATATTTTTATCTAATTCTCTCCCTTTTTGTAATCAACTGGTATGATGTAGCTAAAGCTTGAGGCATATAAACACGAGTGGACAGGCTATAGAACTATGTTGCTATATTTTCTTAGACATTGAGATGTCCCAACATAGGAAAATCTCAGAATTCACTGCAGTCTAACAAATAGTAGCCCTTTAACAGCACATAAATAATACTTCTTGATTTTGTTGGTAGAGATGTATACAGAGAATTTCAAAGAATACGATAAATAAGTAAATGCATATTTTTCAAGTGAATTTTATCTCATTAAACTCTTGCAAATGAGTTCCTAATACAGATTTTCTGGTGTTAAGATGCTATTAAATACAATGAAGAAATTTTAGTTTTATTTTTTTATTTAAGAAAATTAAAAAAAAAATTTCTAGGTAGCAAAAATCTAAAGACAGTTCACATATTCTACCTCAATCTTGCTTCAAAATACTGGTTTCATTAAAATCATGATGAAACTTAGACAAAAATTTCACAACAAACATATCTTGAATTTAGCATTAATTAGCACATGAGAAACATATTTCTCTATGCTGATTTTAAAACTTATTCCCAGTATATTTGAAAACTCTGCAAAACAGGAATTCTGCTTTTATTAAAAAGAATAGTAAGTAATCATCTCTTAAAGACATACATATAAGTTTTATATATAAATAAAATGCCATACATTGTGATGTTAACTACTAACTTCGCTCTAGTGAAATTGACAGTTATTGAAACTGACAAACTGTCACAGAGAATACTGAAATTTTCTTTTTACTCTCTGCATTCTCTAATGCAGTCACAAAGTCACATGTGATAGGGAAATAAGGAAATAATGTGAAAAAGCTGTCATTGTCCAAAGTTCTTATTCAGTTGGTTAAACACACACGTATGTATTTATGTGCGCTCACACACACACATACACACACACACACACACACACACATATGCATGTTTAAGAATGACTGTGTGTGTGGAGAGAGAAAAAGATCAAGTGGTTTGATTTACAATATTTTGACTTTATGATAGCGTAAAAGTAATATGCATTCAGTAGAAATCATATTACCTCAAATGTCAAATTCTGATCTTTTCTGGGATAGAGATGTGTCATACACCATGCTTTATACAATATTATCTTTTGATACCAAGTTCGGCAAGGGGCCATTCCAGTCAGCCATGTGATCAGGAAGGTAAACAAATGATACTCTGTGGTGTATTGTGTTGCTAAACTGTGATGTATGGTAGATTAAGTGCATTAAAGACATTTGGCCTGCAACATTTTCAACTTAACCAAGAGCATCCCTGTGTGTATTAGTACAATTATATACACTCTAGTTTTATCTTTTCTTGAAAACTTATGCAACTACATTATGATATCCCTTCTTAAGTAAGTAAAAAATTAGCAAATAATTTATTTTCATCAAATCCATCAAAATGAAAGTGTCAAAAATGGAATTTGCTATGAAATGTCAATAGTAATAAAATAAATTTCACTAGTGACAATTACTGCATTGATTTAAGTAACATTTCTTATTTAAACAAACCAATAAACCTAGCCTTTGGTGCCTATAATTTCTGTTTGGCACTGAAGACAAACCTGAAAGATGGGTACATGTGGTGATTAGAGGCAACACCAAACATATTTTCAACTTGAAATTTTGAACTGCTTAGTTATAGCAAAATTACTTTTAAAGGAAAGCTCAAGCCCCACAGGTGTTCCTATTACATGCAATAATAGCCTGTGGCTCCATTTCACTTCCAGTTTCTTGCCTCTGTTCTGCCACTTTCCACATTGAAGCTCTTGGGATCTGAATGCCATCTCCAGTGTTCTTGAATTTGACAATGTGCGATTCTGGGCATTATTATTTCCATTTACTGTATTGAACACATCTTTTAATATAGATTGTACATTAACAAGAATTTCTTCTATTATCTTCTTCATGACATTTTCTCTTATCCCCTTTTTTAAGGAACTCCATTTCTAGACACCTGCTTAACTACTGTACAATCTATCTAGTGTTCTTATCCTTTTTCTTATATTTTTACATCTTCTAATTTTACTCTACTTGGAGGGATATTTATGATTGTCTAGTCTTTGTACTCAACATCAATTTGACTGATATAGAAATATATTCAATATTCTATTTGGCTATTTTCTTCAAAATATCCTGTGGTATCTGTTTAACTTAATCAATTACATATAAGTCTTTTTCTCTGCTACTTTGCATATCTCTATTACATCTGTGTTAGTTTTTCCTTTATGACAATTTGGCTCTGTCTTCCATTTGGAAGCTGTACTCTATAATTTCTGGTGAAATTATAGAGGCTACTCATATTTAAGAATGAAGCACTGATTGTGAATGTGTATGCTGGCATGGTATGTTGACAAGCAAGCTTCATTGTATAGATGATAACTGATAGATCCCATAAAGGGCTCATCAAATGTTAATACAGGGTGATTATTTCAATACTTGGTTCATCCAAATAATTCTTCTATTTACTTTTGGTAAGTGGAATCTATCTTGACCACAGGCATTCTAGAAGCAGTAGTATATGAAGGAGCCCTATAGGTCACCACGAGTAAACTCTTCCCTCCTGTTTTTGATGTCAAACTTATTCCTTCCCTTGCCATCCTGTTTAACCTCAGTCTGGCTTAATTTCTCTAGCTAATAAACTTCTTGCCTCTTGTCTGGCTACATGAGGAAGGAAGAGATAATGTGGAGCCTCATGCTCTTATACTCAACACACACACCACACCACACACACACACACACACACACACACACACACACACACACACCTTACTGGCTTCTGTAGAGCCTGTTTCCTGCTTATCAAGATTCTCAGGAGTCCAGTGAGGAAGACTCATTTCTCACCAGCATTCCCAGCACTACAACACTTCAGTTCTAGCCTTTTTCTGTTGCATGAGCCATATTCCCATTCCCAAGAATATTCCCATATTCTTCCACTGCTTTCTGTCTTCTACAACATATTGTGATATTTTTCTGTCATTTCATATTCCATTCTCATTTTTGCGTTTTAAATCTTTAATTTGTCCCTTTCCAAGTGTCCCTTTATCTTGATTTACTACAGATAAAATTTCATCTGACCTTGTGACACCACTGTTAGCTTCCCATCTACCCACAAAGCTTTTCAAATGAGCACTGAATAGCTACATCTTCACCAGCCATTCAGTCCTTAATGTTCCCCTCCTGCATTCTGAAAGCATATCCAATCAGATAATCTCTTAGTTTTAATCCTCGACCCCCTCACTCTTTCTGCAGGTGTTAACACTACAGACATCTTCTTCACTCATATAAAATAACATTCACAACAATAGCTCTAGGGCCCAGCAAGGAAACTTGAATTATAAACTCCCTGATTTCTTTGCTTAACCTACTCACCTTTTGTCCCCATTATTTAGAATAAGGTAGGTACCCAATTACTTAAATAACCACTAAGTAAATTGAGTTCAGCATTGTGTGTGTATGTGTGTGTGTGTGTGTGTGTGTGTGTTTGTGTGTGTGGTGTGTATGTGTGTCTGTGTGTGTCTTTGTGTTTGGTTAAGAGATTGAAGCCAGAGGTATTTAACCACTGAGCTACATCCCCAGGCCTTTTTATTTTTTATTTTGAGACAGAGTCTTCCTGAGTTGCTTAGGGCCTCACTAAGTTGCTGAAGCTAGTTTGAACTTGTGATCTTCCTGCCTCAGCCTCCTGGGCTGCTGGGATTGTAGGTGTGGGCCACTGTGCTCCATAAGTTCATCATTTTTAAAGATATAAACACATGGTTTTATTTCACTCCCCTTTTAGCACTTCTATGAGAAAAACATAGAACAAGTGAGTTAATAATAGCAACTGATACTGGTACTCATGTAGAGGACACATGTGGGGACTGTGGGAAACTGAGAGCCCAGCCCATCTACAGGGGCAGCTGCTCTGTAGTGCCAGCCAACTGTTACCATATGGGAATGTGGATTCAGTGTTGCCAGATCATGCCATTTTTTCATAAGAAGCCAAAAATTTAGATTTTTATCTATCAAGTTTTGAGCCTTAAATTTGGTTGATTATTTAAATAATTTAAATAATTCAAATTTATGAAAAACATTGTCCAAACCAACATGGAGAAGCCAAATAAAACCAGTGACTGCTATTTGGCACCCTTGGATTTATATAAGCACTTACTGAATACCCATTGTGTATAGAGCACTGTGAAACTCACAAAGATGGGAAAAGAATGTTCCCAGCCCTGTCCTAATTGCTGCTTAAAATTGGTTGAGAGTAGCAAAATATTCACAGGTAATATAAAGAAACTATATAAAGTAGAAAAGAGCAGGGAAATACTGAAGATGACTAAAATCAGAACTCCAATTGTGAATGGGAAGCCTAATGTTAGGAATGAAATTTAAAAAAAAAAAATCTTCTTCACAATAAAGCAGGACGGTAGCTGCTAGAGTAACCTGCATGGATCTGAGTGAAAAACAGTAGCCACTTAAAGGGGTGTGGAATAGAGATGCTTAAAAATGCTCACCTCAAAATCATGGGTCCCAGATGAATGCATATTACCCACACCTAAACTTCTATAACTCTTTGCTAGTCACCCAGGGTCTCCTACAGCCACTGCTATTTACTATTTTAACAAAAGTACAAGTGTTTACAAAGGTTATTTACTTCTTCAACCACTTCCCTCCACAAGACTTCTTGCTTCACTGCTGTTGCCTTTTCTGGGATGATACTGAAGTCTCTATTTCCATTCCTAGTACATGCACCAAACCAACATTATTTCAATACATTGTGAGTT